AGAAAAGAAATCTGTGTTGGAAACGCTCCGTACCAATTATCTTTACGCATGCTGTCATTTCTCGCCAGCGTGGGTCCTGAGGTGTGAATTAAGTACACTTTTCTGTCTAAACCGTTTGTTACACGTGTCGCATTTATAAGGTTTCTCGCCCGTGTGGGTCCTCATGTGGTAATCAATGCCGCCTTTTTGGGTAAACCGCTTCTCACAAACCTTACATTTATAGGGTTTCTCGCCGGTGTGGGTCCTAATGTGGTATTCAATGGCGCTTTTATGGGTAAACCGCTTCCCACAAACCTCACAGTTATATGGTTTCTCGCCGGTGTGGGTCCTCATGTGGTAGTCAATGCAGTTTTTATTGGTAAACCGCTTCTCGCAAACCTCACATTTATATGGTTTCTCGCCGGTGTGGGTCCTGACGTGGCAGTCAAGGGTATATTTTTGTGTGAACCTTTTGCTACATGTGTCGCATTTATATGGTTTCTCGCCAGTGTGGGTCCGGATGTGAACATCAAGGTTACATTTCTGGCTAAAACGCTTCTTGCATTCCCCACACTCGTGTGTCTTTTGGCCACCCCGGACACGCTTCTTTCGCTCTGGAGCCTTTAGATGCTCCCCGTCGTCCTGGTCCCCTGCTCCGTCGTCCTTGGCCGCCTTCTGCCCGCTGTCCTCGTGTCCTCCATCACAGCTCCCGCCGCCCTCTTCGTGGTGGAGCGAGTAGCACCTGGTCACCACTAGCCCCAGCTGTTCGTCCTCCAGCGCGCCCATCTTCACCTCGACCTCCACATCCGACTCGCAGGTCAGACTGGGCTGCAGGGAGTGGGCGGTTAGGGTCGGCCTCCCCAGCGTTGTGGACTCTCCACCTGCAACAGAATTATGTCTGAGCAATTAAGAAGGCTGGTTGGTAAGGCCTGGTCATCCACCACAAGCATGCACGTGCAGAATGCAGGCTCGCTGTTTCGCTTGCTGTCCGAAGCAGAGCTCTGCAAAATCACCTCGTCGACCGACCGAGCTCGACCGGCAGGCGGTCGGCACCGACCGCGTGCAGGTGAGAGGTGAGGAGAGGAGCTCCCGCGCTGTCTCCCCTCCTCACCTCTTACCTGCACGCGGTCG